TAGAGCCCTGGTTAGGGAGCTAAATCTTTCCTGTTTTCTGAAAGCCCGATTTTGAGCTAAACATAGATGGCGCACCATCCGTACAAACCCCCACATCCGTTCTAACCCATTTTAATCATCCCGTTTCAAAAAATGTATTTATTTTCTCCATGCTATCTTCACAAAAGAGCAACTCTTCTTTCCTATCATCCGCATGAATATAGACGCAGACCAGCTACTGCGAACACGAACTCACGTCTGTTGATTTATCAACTTGAAAAGCAAACAATTGTGAAAGCTTAATTTCAATACAAATGTGTTATTTAACATTTACGTACATGCAGCGTTTGATGATATTTTCTCATATTGTTTTTTTTTGCTTGGCATTTTCTATCGCGACGTCATTTGATGTTTGCACTAATGCTGGTGAAAACTTCCTGTTCGATCAAGTCTCTAGCTTCTTACCGACGAATAAACTCCATATATTTTTTGGTGTGTTCCGAATGACTCGTCTCAAATGACGTTTTAGTTTTGAAGATTTCATAGATTCGTGACTGAGAACAACTTTGTACAGTGCGCTTTTTTTTTTTTTCACTATTACATTTCCAGTGATGTTAATGAAGCAGAATTTAAAAAATTCTTCTAAATACTTATGTTTTGTTTCAAATTACTAAGGTTTAGTATACCAGTTGGCGACCCCCCAGAAAGACCTTTGCGACCCCCAGGGGGGTCGCGACCCCCAGGTTGGGAACCCGTGTCCTAGCCATTTCAAATATTCGACTAAATAAAAGTGCTATTTTCATTGTTATTAACGTAACTAGAACAGTACATACGCTTTTTATTGTCTGAGGATCACGTGTGGCTAAGCAACATAATACCACCCATGAGGATCACGTTTAGCGACATAATACCACCATGTGAGGATCACGTTTAGCGACATAACATCACCCATGAGGATCACGTTTAGTCATCCTTGTGCCTTGAAGTAAAAAAAAATGTTGCTGTCTGTAGATTCCAGGCATGATGCTGTCGTCATATTCTGACGTGACAAGTCTAAACGTTCCAGACTTGTTACACTGACTCAATAGTCCTGTCTTCAACCTTTAACCTTTGTGCTTAAATTGTCACACCCCTATATGCTCAAACGAAAATATAAAATCTACGACTAATTTTAATCCTACTTTTGCCCTAACTTAGGGCAAAACTTAGGGCAAAAGTTAGGGCTTAAGTTAGGGCTTAAGTTAGGGCAAAAGTAGGATTAAAATTAGTCGGGTCGGATCTAAATATAGGCTGGACTTAATTGTACCAACAGCGAAATTTTGAGTTTTAGCATCAATTACAATTTTAGGGTAAACGGCTAACTAAAATTAGACCAATTTCTACGTTATCTATGTACACCAATAAGGACAAAATGATCGACATTTCGTGGTTCTTCGACTAAGTCGATCTACGGTCGATATAATACAAGTTAGTCGTAGTCAACAAAAGGTAGTCCGTTAAATCGGTCGCTGATACCGTTAACACCCGAGTCACTCGTTACCCAATGTCAAAAAACTGTCACACTTAGATGCGTGACATTACGGGGTAACTGTGACAATTGACAAAGTGCTTCTTTATTTCATTCAAGTTTGTCGGCTTAGAGTAGTGCGTCTAAAAATAGCTACATCACTCCTGACGTCACTGGTGCGAAAGATTTAAAGTTTTCCAAAGAGGGAGTCAAACACAAATGTGACGGAAAGGTTGTTACTATAAAAAGACAAGGATTAAAGGTTAATCTTTGTTTATGGGATTAGTCTGTGTGTTCTCAATCTGGTATTGGGGGAAAATGGGTTCAAAAATATAAAACAAATCAAGAACAACACGAGATAAAAACACACATTATACGATACGGCGAAATAACACTAACACACCAACACACCAACACACCAACATACCAACACACCAACACACCAACACACCAACACATCAACACACTAACACACCAACACACCAACACACCAACATACCAACACACCAACACACCAACACACCAACACATCAACACACTAACACACCAACACACCAACACACCAAGATACCAACATACCAACACACCAACACACCTATGTCATGAACTAATGACATCACTAGCCTATGTCATGAACTAATGACATCACTGGCCTATGTCATGAACTAATGACATCACTAGCCTATGTCATGAACTAATGACATCACTAGCCTAAGTCATGAACTAATGACATCACTAGCCTATGTCATGAACTAATGACATATATAGTCTATGCCATGAACTAATGGCATCTCGAGCGTATGTAATGTCATGAACTAATGACATCACTAGCCTATGTAATGAACTAATGACATCACTGGCCTATGTCATGAACTAATGACATCACTGGCCTATGTCATGAACTAATGACATCACTAGCCTATGTCGTGAACTAATGACATCACTGGCCTATGTCCTGAACTAATGACATCACTAGCCTATGTCATAAACTAATGACATCACTAGCCTATGTCATGAACTAATGACATCACTGGCCTATGTCATGAACTAATGCCATCACTGGCCTATGTCATGAACTAATGACATCACTAGCCTATGTCATGAACTAATGACATCACTAGCCTATGTCATGAACTAATGACATCACTGGCCTGTGTCATGAACTAATGACATTACTGGCCTATGTCATGAACTAATGACATCACTGGCCTATGTCATGAACTAATGACATCTTTAGCCTGTCATGAACTCATGACATCACTAGCCTAAGTCATGAACTAATGACATCACTAGCCTATGTCATGAACTAATGACATATATAGTCTATGCCATGAACTAATGACATATATAGCCTATGTCATGAACTAATGACATCTCGAGCGTATGTCATGTCATGAACTAATGACATCACTAGCCTATGTAATGAACTAATGACATCACTGGCCTATGTCATGAACTAATGACATCACTAGCCTATGTCGTGAACTAATGACATCACTGGCCTATGTCATGAACTAATGACATCACTAGCCTATGTCATGAACTAATGACATCACAAGCCTATGTCATGAACTAATGACATCACTGGCCTATGTCATGAACTAATGACATCACTAGCCTATGTCATGAACTAATGACATATATAGTCTATGCCATGAACTAATGACATATATAGCCTATGTCATGAACTAATGACATCTCGAGCGTATGTCATGTCATGAACTAATGACATCACTAGCCTATGTAATGAACTAATGACATCACTGGCCTTTGTCATGAACTAATGACATCACTGGCCTATGTCATGAACTAATGACATCACTAGCCTATGTCGTGAACTAATGACATCACTGGCCTATGTCATGAACTAATGACATCACTAGCCTATGTCATGAACTAATGACATCACTGGCCTATGTCATAAACTAATGACATCACTAGCCTATCTCGTGAACTAATGACATCACTAGCCTATGTCATGAAATAATGACATCATCAGCCTATGTCATGAACTAATGACATCACTAGCCTATATCACGTCGTAACACCACTGTTATCAGTAAACAAAAAACTACCTAGGTCTGACAAAATCCACACGACATAAATCTCCCTCCCTGGCGTTATGTAAGTATAGGAGATAAGGGGATCGATAAATCTGGGACTATCGAGCAGCAGACGTCAGGGAACAATGGAGGGGAACTTAGATACCAGGGGAACTGTCAGATGAAAGCTAATGACATTATGATATCCCGGGGGTGGGGGTAGGGGGGAGGTAACAAGTGTTACGTGATCTGGATAAGTTTGCAATCTGGTGAAGGTTAGATGAAAGTTCTAGATGAAAGTTCTAGATGAAAGTTCTAGATGAAAGTTCTAGATGAAAGTTCTAGAAGAAAGTTCTAGAAGAAAGTTCTAGATGAAAGTTCTAGATGAAAGTTCTAGATGAAAGTTCTAGATGAAAGTTCTAGATGAAAGTTCTAGAAGAAAGTTCTAGAAGAAAGTTCTAGATGAAAGTTCTAGATGAAAGTTCTAGATGAAAGTTCTAGATGAAAGTTCTAGATGAAGTGCTAGTAAAGAAATACAAGTTTTCTGGGGAGCAGGTCATAGGAAACTTGCGGTAGAAACACTTCAAGAATTTCATAAATGCAATAATCATTATTCTCAAATAAAGCTATCATCGGATCTAAAAAAGTTTTGAAATATGAAGAAAAACATATCATTAAAATAACTACTTACATATTAAAATTATTTAAAAAAACTGGGAGATATTAAAGACTGAAAAAAATTTAAATCGATATGCAGTATTGGAATCGAATTTTGTAAAAAAAAAAAAAAAAGAGTTGGTTTTAAGGAGAATGTAAACATAATTTAATGGCGTCACTAGGCGGGGTGTCACCTGGTCATGTATACACCCCTCGTCGTAACAACGATTAGTGTTCAGTAATTTTTATTTTATATTTTAAATATCTGGTGACCAGAGATCGATCGGAAAGTTGATTTTGTTAAAGGTTTAACCCGACATTAAAAACAATAGTTCACTTTATAAAAATAAAAGGTAGAATGCGATGAGTTTTTTTTTTTTAAACTTTGACTAAGAGAGCATTAAATACAAAGCTGGATAGTTTGTTTTGTTTTTATAATTGAATTTCCCCCTGAAAACAACAAGCTTCTTTGTAGGGCTTACAGATCATACAAAAAAGTATTGAGCATCGAAGTTGCCGAAAATGTTACAAAGTAAACAAAAAGAAGGAATAATGATGGATACAATTTCTATGAACATTTAGTATATAAAATTAAATGTGTTCCTAAAATCAATTATCTAACCACACACCATAAGCCGGTGTACCACACCATATAAAATGTGGTGCGTTATAGGGCTGGTAAGTAGGTCAACAAACAGTTCTATGGCTCATGCAGGTTTCATTGAGCAGTAGAACTGGTTGGTGACCTACTTACCAGCCCTATACCACCCCCCCCCCCCTGAATCCCTGAATGCGAGTATTCTAAAACAACAAATCTACTCACGGCCGTGTGCCTGTGGCTTCTGTGTGTTCCTGAGTAACGTGACGATGTCGCTGGCACAGTCGTCAGGGCTACCGGGGCCCCGGGTGTCCGTCTCCGACTTGCCGCTATCCATGGTCGTCGAGGACAACTTCCGGTCAAACTCCTTGGTCGATGTACTGTGTTCAGGGGCGGCGCTATGGGGGGCGGCGCTATGGGGGGCGGCGCTATGGGGGGCGGCGCTGTGGGGGGCGGCGCTATGGGGGGTGGCGCCGTGAGAGGGTGCGCCTGGCCCGTTCATCTTGACAGAGTCGGAGCCGCTGCTGTAAAGGGCTGCCAGCTGGTCGCTCTTGGTGGCCGGGGGTGTGTCCTTGTCCTCCCCGGGGATGAGAAGTGTTTTGCCTCCCAGGCGAAAAGAGACAACTGACGCTGTGGAGTCAATCGATATAAAAATCAGTGCACTTGAAAACATGAAATTTCCATTGGAGGGGGGCAGGCTCCATCTAGACAAATAACACACAGAGTATGCTGGCACAAGACGAATATATATATATATATATATATATATATATATATATATATATATATATATATATATATATATATATATATATATATATATATATATATATATATATATATATATATATATTTACATTTACATATATACATATGTATATATATATGTATATATATGCATTTATATATATATATATATATATATATATATATATATATATATATATATATATATATATATATATATATATATATATATACACATCTTTGTTAATCAATTTACTTTCTCAGATCCACTCTATTTTAACTGATTTTTTTTTTTAAAAGTGTTCACGCAATGGCCTTATAGTTAAGTTTTTCTTAACTTTTCTATATTGAAAATGAGAAGAAGTGGAATAGTGGAATAATGATTAGAGATATAGCCACACGTTTTTTTTTTTTACCAAGATGCCGTCCTAGATACATAACAAACGAAAAGTGAAATATGGTTCGGCTATGTGTAAGCGAATAAACATCGTCCTGTTATAGAAGAAGAAGAATCCTACTACATTATGTAGCACTCTTTACAACAGAAGATTGTGTCTGCTTCTAAAGCCCGGATGTGTCTTTTATCCTAAGTCACTGTCTAAGTTTATTCACGGCTAATAACAATTAATACATACAGAATTTTAAATTGTGGACCACTTCATAAAAGAGCCTTAAAATCCCTCGCACGACCATAGCTGATAGAGTTCGTGTTTACTTTTTTCTTCATCCAATTTCAATACAAAATCTTTCCGGCATGCAAATTATGTGCAAAGTTTATTTTCATATGGTTTATTGCACACTGCACTAGCCTAACTACAAGTGTAATTTCAGCTACTCTAGCTAATATAGCACAGTATACGATGGAATCTTGGGAAAAAATTTAAAGAGAAGCTAAATCTCCACCGAATTTTTATAGATATTTTTACATTAACAAATTAGGATTTTTTTTTATACAACCATAGATATTAATCATTAATTTAAAATATAGGAGCCGATTGCAATAAACCGTTATTCTGATGACGTAATTTATATTATACAAAAGAAACTTGAAACTTTATTGTTAAAAATGTTTTAGTACACTTTCTTTCACTGAAAAAAATTTAAATAAATTAAAACCATTAAATTAAAAACTACTAAAATAAAAAAAGGTAATTGTTAAAATAAACACTACCTGCCAACCAGCCTAGACCAATGAAAAAACCAACCCTGCCCAGGTTATCCTGCCAACCACTCTCCAGACCTCTCTGCCGGTACCATCCTGCTAAATTGGCACAAATCAGCAGACCAGAGCAGACGATGCACCATTTCACCGGCCCTACTAGCAGACGTCAAAAAATATCCAACTAGCAAGCGCGGTAACCCCAGGCTATATTTAGCAGCAGTGATGGCGGACGCGGATCAGGCTACCTTGGCGCGTGTTAACCAAACGTGACATCATTTTTTGACGTGACGACGTGACTTCAAAAGGGTGGGTTGTCCTTGAGGGTCGTACGGTAGCTCGGCTAGGGTAGTCTCCCCGTAAGGTCAGGTTAGTAACTGAACATCGGGAATTACGTAAATGTAAATACATATATGTGTTATTTTGTGTGTGTGTATATATATATATATATATATATATATATATATATATATATATATATATATATATATATATATATATATATATATATGCTTATTGGTTCCTGTGAGCTACATAAATTTACTGCAATTAAAATTGCTTGCACATTTTCATTCAAGTAAGCCTCAGTGTTTCTTCCAGACTTTTTTCTCCGGGGGGCACTTGAAATTTTCGGGGGGCGGTAGACTTTCTTCGGGGGGGGGGGGGGCGGACACTGTTAAAAGTATATATTTTCTATATAAATTATATAAATTTCTTTTTGTTCAGGGGGGGCGGTAAATTATTTTTTTCGGGGGAACTTTGCCCCCCCCCCCCCCACTCCGAAGAGATGCCTGGAAGAAACTCTGGTAAGCCTTTTTTCGTTGTGTGGTCCCCGCTGGTGTTTCGACTCAGAGCTAATAGTACTGTCTAATAGTACTTACCGGTATTGTTTAAAGTGTTTTATCAGCAAGATTTGGTTAGAATAAGGGTTAGGGTTAGGGTTAGGGTTAGGGTTAGGGTTAGGGTTAGGGTTAGGGTTAGGGTTAGGGTTAGGGTTAGGGTTAGGGTTAGGGTCAGGACAACAGTTTCTAAACATTGGAACTTTGTGCCATCCCTTAGAAAATTAGAAAATCTTAAGTCTTGGCGTCTCTCATCACCTAAGCTTCTCTAAATCTACATCTCGCACCGTGCACCCCACACAAACACACACACACATAATATATATATATATATATATATATATATATATATATATATATATATATATATATATATATATATATATATAGATAGATAGATATATATATATATATATATATATATATATATATATATATATATATATATATATATATATATATATATAACAGTGTATTATATTTTAATTTTTGCGCCTCCCTATCACTAGATCTAGCCCACATCCACCTCGTGTAAAAACGTGTTAGGTCAAGGCTCATTAATTAGTTCCTATGTCTCATTAGACAAATACATTTGGCCTGTTCATTACCCAGCATTGTTTTAATAGGTACTCTATTCCCATTGACTGTAATGTATTTTAAATCTCCACATTCTAAAATGACTACAAAAAAAAAACACCTACTTAACACAAGACAATCTGTGTCTATACGTCTACATCTACTACAAAATTCGAACTATTTAAATTTGTTTTACCCTTTTTTCCAATTTTGTTTTCCGACATTTACTTGAAGGATTCCTCTCACCGCACACATCCAAAGGTCATTAACCCTTTCATTGTTGCCTGGGTAACCGACGCTCAACGATATTTTAATTTTCTAATCAGAGCAAATTAGAATTCCTTTCAAGTAAGCGAAATACGTTAATTAAGATGTTAATTTGAGAGTGATTTAGGAATGACCACTGATATATTTTTTGGTGTTGAAACTACATACAGAATACGATGATTTAAAGAATCATCAACATGTTTAGAATTTTATCTGAACCAAAATATATATTAAAAAAAACTATGAATAAATCCAACAGAACATTATTCTGAGTTTTAGAATCCTGACAGTTCGAAAATAATGTTTTTAATCCAACTTGTGAGAATTAATTTGCGCCATTAATCCGGCAGGAAATTGAAAACTTTAATCCGTTAAAGCCGACAGCTGATGTCAGAAGACGACAAACCTGACACACCTGGCCAGGTAGATCAGCTCCCCAGCGACAGGTAGCACTGACAGCAGGTAACACTGACAGAAGGTAGCACTTACAACAGGTAGCACTGACAGAAGGTAGCACTGACAGAAGGTAGCACTGACAACAGGTACCACTGACAACAGGTGCTCGCCAGTCAACTGTACATCTGACACAATCGGTCTTATCTGGCTGGGATAGTTCGGTAGGTCCAAGCCAATCAGAGAGGGGCTCAGATTCAATGTTGGGGGGGGGGGGGGGTAATAGTTGATGAGTTGGGGGGGGGGGCATAGTTATACATTTTTTTATACCCGTAAGTCAGCAGAGTCATAAATATAAGGATCTGAACACAAATCTTTACCTACATTTATTCATTCATAAATATTGTCATCAGTTAACTGTCCATCATTATATTTGTAATGTCATTATTTTCAATATTTTACTTTGAGCTGCATGTTGTTAAGGGCTGGGAATGTAAAGAACATGGAAACATTTGTAATAATTTCTTTGTTTAAGTTGGCTTGTACTTCAATAGGGGAGGCTGTATACGGGAGGTAGTATACGGGAGTATAGGGGAGGTAGTATAGGGGAGGTAGTATACGGGAGGTAGTATAGGGGAGGCAGTATAGGGGAGGTAGTATACGGGAGTATAGGGGAAGTAGTATAGGGGAGGTAGTATACGGGAGGTAGTATAGGGGAGGTAGTATAGGGGAAGTAGTATAGGGGAGGTAGTATAGGGGAAGTAGTATAGGGGAGGTAGTATACGGGAGGTAGTATAGGGGAGGCAGTATAGGGGAGGTAGTATACGGGAGTATAGGGGAAGTAGTATAGGGGAGGTAGTATACGGGAGGTAGTATAGGGGAGGCAGTATAGGGGAGGCAGTATAGGGGAGGTAGTATACGGGAGTATAGGGGAGGTAGTATAGGGGAGGTAGTATACGGGAGTATAGGGGAAGTAGTATAGGGGAGGCAGTATAGGGGAAGTAGTATAGGGGAGGTAGTATAGGGGAAGTAGTATAGGGGAGGTAGTATAGGGGAAGTAGTATAGGGGAGGTAGTATACGGGAGGTAGTATAGGGGAGGCAGTATAGGGGAGGTAGTATACGGGAGTATAGGGGAAGTAGTATAGGGGAGGTAGTATACGGGAGGTAGTATAGGGGAGGCAGTATAGGGGAGGCAGTATAGGGGAGGTAGTATACGGGAGTATAGGGGAGGTAGTATAGGGGAGGTAGTATACGGGAGTATAGGGGAAGTAGTATAGGGGAGGCAGTATAGGGGAAGTAGTATAGGGGAGGTAGTATACGGGAGGTAGTATAGGGGAGGCAGTATAGGGGAGGTAGTATACGGGAGTATAGGGGAAGTAGTATAGGGGAGGTAGTATACGGGAGGTAGTATAGGGGAGGCAGTATAGGGGAGGCAGTATAGGGGAGGTAGTATACGGGAGTATAGGGGAGGTAGTATAGGGGAGGTAGTATACGGGAGGTAGTATAGGGGAGGCAGTATAGGGGAGGTAGTATAGGGGAGGTAGTATAGGGGAGGTAGTATACGGGAGGTAGTATAGGGGAGGTAGTATAGGGGAGGTAGTATAGGGGAGGCAGTATAGGGGAGGTAGTATATGGGAGGTAGTATAGGGGAGGTAGTATATGGGGGGTAGTATGCGGGAGGGAATATACGGGAGGGAGTATACGGGAGGACGTCAAAACGGCAGTAGGTCTGATAAAGAGATCAAAGGCGCAGGAATCAAGGGGAACTTTATAATGATCTTTTATACAGGGTTTTAAAGGTGTATGTATAGTGTACATTTATACAGGGTTTTAAGGTGTACGTATAGTGTACATTTATACAGGGTTTTAAGGTGAACTTAATAGTAAACATTTATACAGGTATTTAAAGGTGTACGTAATAGTGAGCATGCAAGATTTACGCTACTGATATTTCTGTGTGTAGTAGCTTTGTAACATTTAATTTACAGTATGGCTTGTGCCTATATTCTGAGTTTTATTGGAGCTTACGGGTGAATGACATTGTGAACAGGAGCGTAGCGAGGGGGGGGGGGGGCGGGGGGGGCGGACCGCACCGGGTGACACCATTTAGGGGGGTGACACCAAGGCAAAATAATAATCATTAAAAAAGTTTTAAAAAACCCACGTTTTCTGATTGAACTAAAAAGTAGAAAATAAATGCTATAGGCCCTACATCACAATAATGCAAGCGATCACTCTACTATAAGCGATGAAAAACGTGGGGCGCCGAAGTAAAAGTTATATTACTATTGATTAGATAATACTATTGACTTTTATTAGGGAGCTTGTAGAGAGTCAACAGTATTAGAAACTGTAAGAAAATCACGGCGCCCCACGTTTTTGCTCGCTTATAGTAGAGTGATCGCTTGCATTATTGTGATGTAGGGCCTATAGCATTTATTTTCTACTTTTTAGTTCAATCAGAAAACGTGGGTTTTTTAAAACTTTTTTAATGATTATTATTTTCTACTTTTTAGTCTTTGTCTGTTTGTTTGCATTAAAATCTTGCTATCGATTTTATCTTTTCACTTTTTTTGGGTAAACGAAGACAACTCGTAAAAAGACAACTCGTAAAAAGACAACTCGTAAAAAGACAACTCGTAAAAAACACGTTGTTTGAATACGTTACTGACTAGAACACATAGATTTGAACCCGTGTCGAGTGGGATAGCAATCGTGTGCCCAACCACTCGACCATATCGTCTCCCCCAAACTGGCCTACCTCCAGTAAGTTTAAACTCGGTTCAAGCTAAATTCTCTGCCCCTAAGCCTGTGGCGACATGTGATCGTTCGCTTCACTGCGCGCGAGGTACGCGTCGCTGGTTTTTTTTCTAATGGCTAGCAGAGGAGAATTATATATATAGATTATATAGCGGTCTAAAATGCTCAATAAAATGTTTCCATTGATCAATTTAGTAATAATAACAATTGAATATTCAATGGTCATCCAAAAGAAAGCTTCCCTGAAAATTTCAGCGCGCTAGCTAACTGGGAAGTGCCAGAAATTTCGATCGCAAGATTGGATTGGAAAGACAAACAAATAAATAAATAAACACACAGAGAAAGCAAGTTAAAGAAAACGTGGGAAAATAGCAAAATATATAGAGAAAAACTCGAGGGGGGGGGGGTGCAAATCGAAAGTTTGAGGGGGGGTGCAAATCGAAAATTTGAAAGTTTGTCCCTGGGAAGGGTCTCTATGCCTCTGGGGGGGGGGGGGGGGGTGACACTATTAAGTGCCGCACCTGGTGACACCCGACCTCGCTACGCCACTGATTGTGAAATATATTTTTTTCGAGTATTTCTTTGCACATAAATAAGCATTATTACCACCTGATGTATGAAGCGGTTGAATAAATCAATTTGAATTAATTTGTTATATTCTCACTCATTTAAAACGATATATATATATATATATATATATATATATATATATATATATATATATATATATATATATATATATATATATATATATATATATATATATAAAGAATTGAAAGCAACATTTGGCAAGCATGTACTGGTGGTGGAACCCCCTGCATCCCTACACGTGATGTGTTGATGTGTTGATGTGTTGATGTGTTGATGTGTTGATGTGTTGATGTGTTGATGTGTTGATGTGTTGCTGTGTTGATGTGTTGATGTATTGATGTGGTGATGTGTTGATGTGTTGATGTGTTGCTGTGTTGCTGTATTGATGTGTTGATGTCTTGATGTGTTTCTAAAATTTCTAAATCAAAGAACTAAAATAGCTGAGCTGTTTGATACAATTTAAAACGCGACATACCAAGATGATTTATAACCGAGATAAGGAAGTAAGATAGAGAACGTAGAGAGCTAACAGATTGAGATCTATCAGAAATTTACGAGATCTATAATAAATTCACGAGATCTATTAGAAATTCACGAGATCTATAATAAATTCACGAGATCTATAATAAATTCACGAGATCAATAATAAATTCACGAGATCTATAATAAATTCACGAGATCTAGAATAAATTCACGAGGTCTATAATCAATTCACGAGATCTATAATAAATTCGAGATCTATAATAAATTCACGAGATCTATAATAAATTCACGAGATCTATAATAAATTCACGAGGTCTATAATAAATTCACGAGATCTATAATAAATTCACGAGATCTATCAGAAATTCACGAGATCTATCAGAAATTCACGAGATCTATCAGAAATTCACGAGATCTATAATAAATTCACGAGATCTATAATAAATTCACGAGATCTATCAGAAATTCACGAGATCTATCAGAAATTCACGAGATCTATATTAAATTCACGAGATCTATAATAAATTCACGAGATCTATAATAAATTCAAGAGATTTTTCAGAATTCACGAGATCTCTCAAAATTAAACAAACAGAACAATTCACATTTGGTACAAGCGGAAACATGTCAAGAACATGTCAAGAAAATGTCAAGAACATGTCAAGAACATTTCAAGAACATTTCAAGAACATGCAAACATCAAGTAAATAAAATGGTAGCACCAACCTCCCGAGCTGTGTCTTGAATGTGTCGACATTGGTTACAATATCCTGGCCAAAAGTTGTTTTATTAAAATATCCTGACCAACTGGCACGTTGAGATATCCTGGCCAACTATTCTGGCACCTTAAAATATCCTAACCAACTGGCGCCTTGAAATATCCTGGCCAACTATTCTGGCACCTTAAAATATCCTAACCAACTGTTCTGGCAACTTAAAATATCCTAACCAACTGGCACGTTGAGATATCCTGGCCAACTATTCTGGCACCTTAAAATATCCTAACCAACTGTTCTGGCAACTTAAAATATCCTAACCAACTGGCACGTTGAGATATCCTGGCCAACTATTCTGGCACCTTAAAATATCCTAACCAACTGGCATGTTGAGATACCCTGGCCAACTGGCACCTTAAGATATCCTGGCCAACTATTCTAGCACCTGTAAGAAGATATCCAAATCAGTAAATCTGTTATGTACATTACAACCTTAACCATTACCTAAATCTAAAAAAAAAAATAGAGTGTAGAGTGGAGCGTTATTTAGCTCACATTAAGAAGGAAGGCTGCGTGAGTTGGGTAACTTGGAATTTTAAAAAAAAATTGAGTTCTAAACGGAGTACATGACCAATAGACCAAAGGGAGACAACCAAATGGTAGGCTCGGTCTCAGATGTTTAGATGATTTGGTGACAGACATAGGGTAGCTTTCAGCCCAGAACGAGGGTCTGGTTCAGGGGCGTAGCGACGGGGGTGGGTGGGTACATATGTCGCCATAGGCGCCAAAATGGGTTAGAAAAATTGTATTTTTTTTTTTTTTTTTTTTTTTTTTAGAAAAATTGTATGGCTACTTTTAGCAGCAGTTTGGAAATAAGAATACAACTCACCGTACAGATATTAAATCATAATATTCCTTCGCTATTTAAAAAAAAACATGAAAGCGTAAAAAATAAAGGTTTAAGAATTCCCATTTCTAATCATAGTAAATCTACTTTTTAACAATTTGCTTAAACCTAAACAAAATATATCCATACTCTAAAATACACGTTAGATTAACATTTCTTGTAATAACGGTAATAAAATATCTCAGATTGTAAAGTTTGAAGAGGATATGAAACGTTAAGAAGTTTTAACTTTGGTTATCGCCCTTGAAAAAACTTATTTACGTGTTTGTTGCAGATAGTCACAGCATAGAAAAAACAACTGCGCATATTTGAGTGTGTTTAAAAAGGTAGATCTATATGTTTGTAGGCTATGTCATCGATTCAACAAAGATAGGTGTAAGATAAATGTGTTGAAAAGAGGCATCTTAAAACATTTCATTTCTTATAAAAGTCAACAGTATTCATGTATATAAACGCCTAAATTTTGTATACAAGAAAGATGAAATAATAGGGTGAATAACTACCTTGTCTATTCCTGATAATTGTTGAAGCTTTATGAAAGTATTTTTACAAGTATCATTAAAAAAGTCATCTTAAATTCGGTCACATTAACACCTAAGTCAGATGTCGGTTCAAATCGACAAAAATTAATCACGATTATTCTAGAAACACCAAACAAACAATTTTTAAAAATTGTTATTCCACTTAATAAATAGATTTGAAAAAATCCATTAAGATCTTTAAGTTCAGGGTTCTTGATTAACTGTGTAGGTATTTTCACGTTTTACAGACTAGTTTTCATAAAATTGCCTCGAAGATATAAAAAAACAAAACAATAAAAACACATGTGTCGCAAGGATTTGGACCCTAACCACGGACATTAGACTTCACGTTGCTTAATGTTGTTTAGGTACATTAACCACGGTATAAATTACGTCCAAAACGGCATCAAGTTTTTTTTTTCTATAGACAAGCACGCTAGACCTACCCGTGACACAGACAGTTCCACAGAAGGCATCAGATCAAAGAAATCTGACAATTCCAGTGCGCGTCTTCTCCATGTCATGTGACATTAAGGTACACAGGTGTGTAGGGGTGGGTGGGGGGGGGGGGTTGACTGACAGGTGAGACAGACCAGCACCAGCTCTTGCACCGTCATGCATCATTGAACACTGCACACTTTCTTTGAGGGGGGGGGGGGACTGAGATTGTTTGTCACGGGGGGGGGGGGGTCTTTGGGCAGCCCCGTGATTGTTTGCTTGTGTGGTTTTCGCTAGATAACAGAATCGTTTCACGGGGGTCGTTTCAATCGGTGCTAATCTGTAGTAACCAACTATATGGGGGGTGGGGGAGGGGGGGGTGTCATTGAGGTCAAGCTTAAGGACAAATCTGACTGTTCTCGTGTTTCCTGACACTACGAACTGAACCGTTACAGATTTAGGTAAATCGATCGGTTACATCATCTTAATACCGGTAATTAATTTATCATTGAATTAGTTAAGAAAACAAATTAATACTGCGCCACTCTATCCACTGACCCATCTGACACCCCCCCCCCCCCTCCCCCTGCCACACAGTCACGAAAACCCTTTGACTGTTATTATCCTCGTAAATAAACCGGGAGTGATCTCCCCTAAACTTTCTCGAATATTCTTATATAACTTGGAATGTAGACATGATTTTTAATTACTTAAACTTTTAAAAATAGAAAAGAATCTCATACAAAAAAAAAAAATTGCGCACCAAGCGAACGCCAAAACAAAATGTGCATAATAGTGCGCAATATTATTAGTACTTTATAAATTTACATGCGTTTTTTGAGAAATCGGAAATAGCGTAAATTAGTACTTCCGGTAAACGGAAATTACTCAAAATTTGAAAGAAGGTAGAGAATTAGATCTTTGACTTACATGAGAAATTTCATTTATCTATCTGAAATAGTACTCAAGTTATAGGCTTTTGAAAAATTCAAAGTAGAAAAAGTACCACTTCCGGTTATCGGAAATCGCTCAAAAGTTGATACGGATCTACGATTTTGATAAAATACTTATATATGAAATTTCATCAACTTAGCTGTAACGGTACTCAAGTAATCGTGTTTACACACAGACAGACAGACAGACAGACACACACACACACACACACACAGACAGACATACGGACAAGATTGCAAAATTATGTTTTTGGACGATTACAATACTTTCTCTATACTTTGTATATACGAGAAAGAAATAAAACGAAAGAAAATTACCAAAACAAAGAAATCCACGATTCAGTAAAATCTATCTTAAGTCGAATTTTTTTTCTTCACACAATTCAATACTGTGCAACCGTTCAGGATGATTCCACCCTACCTAACCCTTCCTCCATTCAACCCCACCCCACAACACACACACACCACACACACACACACACACACACTGCCCTGGATCACGTTCAGTCGTCGCAGCAGCTGCCTAGTGATGACGTCATCAATTCTTGCGTAACCTTTTTGTCTCTGGGGTAAATCCGCCCAAGTGAAAGCTCATTAAAAGGCCGAGCATGTCGGCGGAGAATTAGTTGGGATCTGACATATTTGCCGGCGATATTTGCTTCCACCCCCCCCCTCTCCCAACAGTGAAATTGTATCGTCTCGAAGTTGGCCGTCCAGAACTTTGGCCGTCGAGACACGTGGCCGTCCACATTCAAGGACGTTCAGACTCTAAGTGCATACACATACAATGTAGAATTATTTTTTTTTTGTTAAAAAAATAATTGATTAACCACTTTCCCATTAATGGAATTGTTTATTATGATTCACATACAATGTAGACTTTTTTTTTTTTTAGAGTACATATTCCAAAATTTATTACACATTAGCTACATTACATGCAGATTTAGGTCAAATATTCTAGAAAAATATATACACACAATTTTCCTCAAAGAGAGAATACACAAAATAGTGTATTTTGACCATGAGATTGGAAATCAAAATCAATCACAGTTAACATCCCTAATTACTAATACAACATAAAGCTGTTTAGTTTTTTCCCTAAAATACCGAATAGTTTAAAAATTAAAGCCTAAAAATACATTTATTGTTGGCAAGTATAAAAAATGGACATTGATGTTAAATTGTTAAACAAAAAAATTACTTGATTAATTTATAAAGTTTAAAAGAAGTAAAATAATTTATGAGATAGTCCATCTGTTGCTAACTATTATTGACAAGAAGTACACAGATGTGTAGACAGAAATACAAACACACTAAAGCTTCGGGGGGGGGGGGAATACTAAGTAAAAACTTGAGATGTGTTCTACAAGCTAAGTTGGGACTTTATTATTATGGCATGGAGTTTACACATACAATGTGATAATATGTGGACGAGCTTTGAGTACTAACAGACTCTATACCTATTAGTTTAAAAAAAGCACACTCATGCAATTAAAGAATTTGTCAGGAACAGTCTACATGGTATATTTATAAAGATTTATTAAAAAATTTTAAAAAAGTTACGACGTATTTTGTGTTATTTTTTTCTTTGAACATGCATTGATGCGAACTCATTGTATTAAATGTAAACATTAACAGCTAAATAGATGTAAGCGAAAAAAATTTCTTTAGATTGTTTGTTGATAGGGAATTGATTTCAAACATGGGTTACTTCCCCTGAAGTCACGTCTCGCTTAATTAAAGGGAAGTAACTGATAGCTGCCTGAAAACCATTTGATCTTCAGTTTATATTTTAGCGTGCCGCTCTTTTTTCTTTAGTGAAGTTTAATTAGTCGTCTGCTTGCAGTGTGTCAGACTGCTGACATCAGACTCATGACATCAGACTGCTGACATCAGACTGCTGACATCAGACTACTGACATCAGACTGCTGACATCAGACTAATGACATCAGACTACTGACATCAGACTGGTGACATCAGACTGGTGACATCAGACTGCTGACATCAGACTAATGACATCAGACTACTGACATAAGACTGGTGACATCAGACTGGTGACATCAGACTGGTGACATCAGACTGGTGACATCAGACTGCTGACATCAGACTGGTGACATCAGACTACTGACATCAGACTGGTGACATCAGACTGGTGACATCAGACTGGTGACATCAGACTAATGATATCAGACTAATGACATCAGACTAGTGACATCAGACTACTGACATCAGACTACTGACATCAGACTGGTGACATCAGACTGCTGACATCAGAATATGACATCAGAATATGACATCAGACTACTGACATCAAGCAGCTGACATC